ATAGAGAAAACAGGAACGTCCAGCAAACCCAGTTACAGGAAGAGTGAAAACAATGGCTCTTCGGGAGCCGTTCCCAGTGCCGTGAAACACTCCTGTTCAGATCGCTCATTTTTGTGTCAAAGACTGTAATGACTAGAGGAGGAAAAACGCCATTTAACCTGGCTGTACAACATTTCTTTATAGCAATAACGGGAAGTAATAAAAATTGAACATATTTAATCAGAACTTAAAAACCATAATCACATGGTCCTTTCTGTGTGAGTTTCACTTTCTTGGGCATTTCCAGATAACCTTTGCATTGATTTGGGAAGCTGTTTCTTAATCGGTTTCATTGACCCAGCTCAGCAGACAACTTAGTCACCCCTCTTACCCTCTTAAGGAATGACTCCTCTGTGCTATTTCTCTCTTTGTCTTTTCTGAGAATCACTTTTTACTTTTCTTGCAATACTTTAGCATCATTTTCCGCCTGTTCCCAATACTCAGTGAAGGCGAGGTTATGCTTCGTCCAAACCAATATTGCAACAGTCCCAAGACAAGTAGCAAATACTTTCAGATTTCAAAAGGTGAACTTCAAAAGCCAGCTGTGGATTAAGAACAGCCTGTAGTACTGACTGGCCTACTAGGTGGAGTCTGGAAACTCTCAGCCCCCAAATAAATTTTAATTAAATTTAAAAAAGAAATAGTAAAAGTCAGCTCAACCCCTTTCCTGTCCTCTCACTACAGTTCCTCCCTCTGAATTTGCTGCAGTCTTTCCTAGCTTATCATAGACAGCTCAAAGAGAGACATCAATATATCCGCTGGGTTGGGTTTTTTTTGCAGACAGTGATATCCTTCAGTATTTGAGGCTTATTGGGGACTCCTTATTGACTTGGAATATCACAGGAGAATTTCAAAGTGAGAGGAAAATAGTTTATGCAGATAAAAAAAAAAAAATTCTATGCTAACATCTTCCTTTATATAGTAGAGATATTGAAGATACACTTCGGGTCTGAAGTCAGTCTATTTTTGCTAGAAGGCTATTTTTAAAGCTGACATTTCCAGCTATGTTTTCAGGTAGGTAACAAATTCTGACAAAATAATTTTTCTTCAAGTAACGGCGCAGACAAAATATACATCTAGCATTTGTTCACATCCAGAAGATTTACCTCTGGGGCATCACAGCTCCTCGGAGTAATGCTTTGCTTTCCGTAGCTGGCAGCCCGAAGAAGGAAGGGTGAAATTCAGCCTCGCTTAATGCAGTTACAGATATGTCACTGACCTCAAGAGGAGCAGGATTTTGCTGCGAGCGAGCGGCTAGTCTGACTCCAAATAGAAAACTTACTACAAAGCTAGGAACAAAACAGTTTTGTGAGTTTTACCAGGGAGATAACTCCTTTCGCTACACGTGAGCACAAAAGCTTGTTTTCACCTGTTTTAATTTTCTATGTTGCCTTCATGCTACTATCTTTCTTTCCTCGTTAGGGGTGACTACTCTTGTAATGAGAGTGAAATTAACTATCCTGTTTGGAAAATGTGGCCTTTAACTTGCTTTGGCTTTAGCATGTGAAATATATCAATTGGTGCTCTAACTCTTCTTGGTGTTTGGAAAAATCAATGCTTGGTATGGATTGTATACCAAACTGATGAACAGGAGATTCTCAGGGCTGTCTCACAGCTTTGTTGTAGAGCTCTTACCGCCTGCATCGGCATCACCCTCTCCTGAGGGTCTCACAGGGAATAACCGTTCATGACAAAGTAACACTCGGAAGCCCTCGTTTTGTGCCCTGCAAGAGTGATGGTGGGAGAAAGCGGCTACATCTGTTATCTCTATCTGTGGCGGGCAGGGCGAGTTGCGGTGCGCCTTGGCTGGAGGCCGGGTGATGTGTTTCAGGCTCGCGAAAGCTCTCTGCTGTGAAGGGCAGTCCCGCACCAGGCGGCTGGGCAGGCCTGCAGCCCGTCCCACCAGGGTGCCCAGACGGGCTCGCTGGCACGGGGCCGTGGGCCCCCGGCATCGTGAGGTCCCGGCATGCTGTCTGTGCTTCCAAATTTCTCGGTGCTAACCCGTCACGGCTGGGCAGCGGGGCACGGGTGGGAGAACCAAACTGGTTTGCCTGAGCGCTTGTTACAGACCGAATTTTCAAGACCTGAGTCTCTGCTGTCTCCCCAAGTGCTGATCAGCAGTCACTGCTGGCATGGGATGACTGACTTCTGAATTTTAGGTAGTTTAAGCAAATGAATATTTGTGTTTACCAAGAAGACACCTAGCTGTTAACTTGTGCTTGCAAGTAATTATGCACAGTTGTTTCTCTCCTGCTAGCAGGGATTAAAAATGTGGGCATGATTAGAAGTGTCCTGGCAAGGAAAGCACGGTGCTTGTTATAATCTTATTAGCTGTATTAGGTGTGCTTTACTTCTGCTGTAGTTTGGTGCTCTAATCACTTAGTCCCTAGAAAAGACTCCTGGTAGATTTTCCCCGCCTGTTGGTTTGCATCCCCGCTGACCAGCGCCGCTTCCCGAGATGTGTTTCTGATGACAGCGTCAGTGATGCCGCTTTGGGGGGCGGAGGGGGAGCATACGAATTACGGAGCGGTGTCTTTAGAAAGACAAGGATGTGAACAACCTTCCCCCTAAACGCGGGATGCTGCTGGGGGCTGCAGTGCCGGCAGGAGACTTCCCATCGCCAGTGTTGCCGGCGGGCACTGCCGCGAGGGCTCCTCTGCTCTCTGCTCCAGGCTGCTCTTTTGAGATCCCCAGGCTGGGACAAGAGTTAGAATTTATTATAGAGTTAATATAGGGTTATATAACTCTATATTAATAGGTATAGTTACATGTGGCACCAGACTTCTGTGGCAAAGCTGGGCATCTGAAACTCGCCTCAGCGGTACACCCGTCCCACCTCGGCGGCCGAGGGGCAAGGTTTACCCCCTCATGTCTAGATGTTTAATGCCCGGGTGGCGTTTCCAGCGGATGATGTCTGTCGCG